CGACAAGTAATCTTGTCGCCATTTATCCGAATGTCTCAAGTATAGCGTATAAGCATTTCACATATGAAATTAAGTAGTAGCGAACGAATTGATCGATGACCGCCTCGGAATCGATGCATCACATGGAAAGAACAGAGGTAAATAACACATCGAACAAGGACGGTGATATCGATGGCTTGAATGAACTCTCTCTGACTGGCGAGTGCGCAACGGAACTGAGCGCAAAATGGCAAAGCGCATGCATCTGACATTTTCGTTACAAAATAATTAATGTGTTGTTTTTTTTACGCGACCGTTGGAATGCTATGGGATATGCAAAGTTAACGCGTTTCGATACGATCTTACTTCGATGACGACGACGAAATGCACGCCAAACTATTTTCGATGTATCCAGAGAAAAAAAAAAATTCGACATTTTATTTTTTGTTGCTAATTTTGCTCCGCTGTCATCATTTGTTTTCTCCCCGTATTTTGCTGCGTCGTTGCTAATGTGAAATTTTATGGCAGTTAATGCAAATATAAAATCGCGCGGTAAACACCAACCGATTCGGCCGATGTAATTAAATAATGGCTTTTTAATTTTTCTCATTCCGCGGTCACTCTGCGTTTTTTTCTGTGCCCGCTGCTTCGAATTAATGCGCGAGGTGCATTAACTTCGATCACAGCGACGCAAAATTATGACACCATATCGTGTCTCTGTCTCTCTCATTTGGATTTTACAACTTTGCCAAAAAGAAAGAAAGAAAAAAAAATTAAGAATTGATGGGATTAGGCGGCATTCGTCGGCGATTTACGATTGCCAATTTCGAAAAAAAGAACAGCGGCGAATGAGTGATAAATCAAAATCGATGGTGAACTTGTTAGACACACTCCGTATGTGCTGGATGTTTCCATGTCTGCCTTAATCATATTCATAAATCCCCTAATTGAATATGTTGGCCTTTCGAAATGCGCGTTATTTTTGGCAATGATCAAAATTCAACATTTACCAAATTGTCTAGAAGTTTTACATTCTTTTTTTCGACTCGTTGAATTTAGGCGTTCGGAATTTAGCTATTTTCTCGGCTCGCTTCAAGAAAGATGGAAGAAAAAATTGAGAAAAACCAGTGAACTATTCGAATGATAAATGTCTTAATTTTCTCATATTAAATCGTGACAAATTGACCTCCCGATTCTGGGTTCCATGTAGGATTTGTGTGTTCGACAAGCTCTCGTCTGACGCAGGCATTTGTTTTAGCTCGGCCACGTAATTACATTTGGAACGACTTCGATACTTATCTGTGCCACTGAAGAGAATCGACAAACCCGTATGCTGAAGTGATTTGTTTTCGGCCCAGGTGTGTGTTAATGGACGTAAGCAACATGAAATGTATCTCGTAACTCATTTGTTTGGTTCGCCAAGTGTATGATAGAGACGAGAGGGAGAGAGAGAGTGAGAGATAGAGAGAGAGCGAGAGAAAAAAAATGCAGTAATAAATATCCCAGAAAAAGAAAACAAATTGAAGCGATAATGAAAATGCCCGAAAGGTGAGATAAGTTAATTATGACCGAAAAAAACACACATCTCTTCTTCAAACCGCGTGAAGAGAAAACGAAAATGGATGAAAATCAAAAATAGTTGTGTGTAAAAAAAATATTTCATTTTCGTGGTTTCAAGAGATCAAACATCACACTGACAAAAATTATTTATGGTCTTCAGTGGTCTTGATGGATGCTGTTGCTCTGTGGTTTTACGGTGTGATTCGAAACCATTAAACACTCACTCTTGGCCGGATATTTTGTGATATTAAAAAAATTAAAACAATCAACATTCCCCGGCTCGTCGAAGCACACAGAAATCAAGCAACGCGTCAATATCATCGATCAAGCCAACTGAAATATCCATCATTGCCATCAAATCGAAAGCTTGCTTCAACCAAATTCGAACTATTTTTTTATTTCCATCGAAATAATAAATAGAATACATTGATCATGCGTTCGTTGGTCTCCGAAACGAATCATTTCGCCGAATGAAGACTGGGCACGGGATGGAAGAAATCGATTTAAGCAGCAAACGAAATTAATAGTCCAACGAAATAAAGCAATTATCTTCGATAATAGCAATGATTAAAATTGCCGAGATGAACCAACGTTATGGATATTTGAGACGCGCGCGCACGTCAAGTGGCCCCAGCCACCAAAAAATAATGACAAATATTTCTTCTTCTTTTTTCGTCCGACGTTGAAATTCAATTTGAAAGAATAAGCGAGTGAGACGAGAGTGAAGAAACATGTGTACTTCGATGGCAATTGTTGGCTAACACACGCGCCCAATCAACAACGCGCACTGAGCATGATATTTGTCTTTTACTTCAATAAATTATTTTCAATTCGCCCGGTACTTGGTTTTTTTTATTTCATTCACCGGCACCGTTATTATCGTTACAGTGTATCACAACACTGTGTGTGTGTATGTGTATGCTGGTGCTTGCGCTACTACAACAATAGTCGCGTTCAAGGGAAGAGGAAAAAAAACATACTCACCTGAACGAATCTGTTAAGAGAAAATATAACAATTTAAATTTAGATTGAGCGAAAAAAAAACGTAATTTCAAAATTAAACGAGAGGAAAACATGCAAACCATCCAATCGAAATAACATTTCATCGTAACGATTAATTTTGATTCAAGTTCGTATTAGAATAAATTAATATACTCGTGTGTGTGCCCGTTGCCCATACAAAACCGCAACCAATCTGCGTCTCTCTCTCTCTCTCTCTCCGTGCCGGTCGTTCTCCCTCTCGTAGCAGCAACAGCACCAGTCGCGATCGCTTTTATGTGCACTTAATTGCACGGTAATTGTATCGCGCAAGAGACAATTTATATAATTTTTGTCGTGCGACTCATTTTCTTTCAGCTTTTTTTTCTCGGTCGTTTGTACTGTGGAAAATTTCGTGATCCCACGATTATTGCCAACATATAATCGTGCATATCACAATTTTGTGAACGAATCACATTTTTTACACCAAATCTCGTCATTTTTGTAGATTTTTTCTAAGGTGATTACCGTAAGATTTAATATAATTGCGCTGAAATATTGCGTCGATCCAAAGTCCAAACGTTTTATAGTAATTGATTTACCAACAAATGGGGAACCGAAGACTGAAATGTTGAAGAAGCCTTTCAATTTAAATTCATTTGTCACTAATTTAATTCACATCATTGCGAATTCTTCAGAAATGAAACGCCATAAATTGAGTGTGATAATAAAGTTGTATCTCGATAAAATAGAGCAATTCATTGAGGATTTGCATATCGGTGATCTTCATATTGTGCAGTAGATAATAACCGAATAAATCTGTTCCTTGAATGATTACAGTCAACCTAATCTCAGGAATTTTCAAATTGACCAATGAATCTCGACTGATACAAAAACCCGATAGGTTCTCATTTTTTTGCCATAGCCATCGAAGTTATCGGCACACGTTGATCTGGGTTATCTGAAAATATTCTTTTGTTTGCCAAAACAAAGAAGCAATATTCATATTTTAGCGGTAACGATACGAGTTGTTGCAAAGCTCTTGATAAATGAATAGAGTAGTGAGCTGTTCACTGAGCCAAAAAACGAGATTTTATGCACTGTAGAAATCACCAGTTTCGTTTGATATTCAAAAAAAGGGGAATAAAATACAAACGGATTTGCATAAAATTCTCCACTCTCATCAATGTGACTGTGAATGTGAATGATCATCGACGTGTTTGGATTAAGCGGATCGGATAGCAGTAACTTGGCCTGTTTAAAAACACTCTAACGAACCAACAAGTAATGAAGAGGTGTGCTTTTTCTGGACACACAAATGAAAGAATGAAAAAAAAAAACGGAAAATGAAGAGAGGTGAAAAACACACAGCGAAATCGATTATTTATCGACTAATTACTAAAGTTAGTTACAGCTTGTTATACATTTCAAATTAGATCCAATTGAGTGATTTTTTGAGTTGATGATTTGTACTGTGTCGTCCTATTGTTCGAAAGAACACCACTACTTGTTTCTTTTTTTCTTCCTTCTTTCTGCTTCACAGCGAATGCACTTGTCTTTTCGACACACACACACACACACACAGAGAGAGAGAGAGAAATAGATTACGAGAGTTGTTCATGCAAGCAAAATGGTGTTGAACTTTTTTGGGTTAGTTTTTTTTTCTTCTCTCGATCAGTTTCTAATTAAATCCATTGAAGCAAATCATTTAGCAGCGATCGTATGAATTAGCATAACATCAACACGGCCACTTTATCGATCACGTCTCTCTCGCTAGCGACGCGCTTATGAAGATGTTCGAGCTGAGGTGAACAAAGTTAGAAAAAAACATGCTAAATTAGAACGTTGAAAAGGAATCAAAGCGTAATTTTCTATTGTATAAAATCACACCAAAATTTACACAACCAACGAGTCGTTCTCGTTCGTGTTCTGCTATTGTTTTCTGATCAAACTCAAAATGTGATGATGCTTAACCAATAGCCACTTTTTCTTCCGCTATGTTCCGTTTGGTCGCGGCGCTCAATTTTTTTCCTCACCTCACTCTCTCGCAACAAAAAATTGAGTAATTTTGGTTTAACGTCTTCGTTAAAAGGTGTGGAGGCGAACAAAAACAATGAACGAACACAATCGTCGAATCAGATCGATTTTTTTTTGCATAAGAATGGAATCTGTAGGAAAAAAGCGATGATTCGTGATAGCAAACAAAAGGTGAGCACCGTAAATAAGACGTCGCGCATTTGTCATGCAATTTAAGAATGTTTTAACAATACGAGAAGAAAAAAAATCACATCAACAATTTTTGCCTCCCAAAATACACCGGAGAAAAAAGGTGAGAAAAAGAAAATTAATGCGCTTAATTTTGTGTTTACGGTCGCGCTGCTTAATGCGAGCAATTTGTATACTCTCGAGCATGGGAAAAATGGTGGTGGCATTTGCTATGGAAATGAAACAGATCAAAATTTCTTCAATGTTTATTTAAACTGGTCAATTGATCGATCACAGAAACAGCAGCAGCAGCAGCTACTTGATTGAAGAGGAATTCGAAAAATGTGTCGTGCCAATTTACATGTTTATCTCCAAATGGTAGGTGAAAAGCAGCATGGTTTTAGTCATGTCATTAGCCAGTCTAATGAAGTTACTTCATCTTTATTCAATTTATCCGCAACACGTCGCATTGAAGAGAAATGTCCACAAATTACGGGTTCTAAAAATAGACAACACGAAATTCAATAAATAAATGTATGTGATTTAAAACAATTTGATTTAATTTACCACAGTAAGAGAGAAAAAAGCAGCAACGACAACGGCAACGACAACGAACAAGAAAAAAATATTTGAAAATGTCAAACGGATTGAGTTTCGTTTCGGGAGTGCGAGAGATTTACTGTGTGTTCGAGCATGAATATGTGTGAGAATTAGGAAGGGAATGAAATCCGAGCAGTTAAATGAACGGAGTGCGATGACTTTGAAACTTGGCTGCAACGAGCACAATCGCCTGTTTAATTCGTCATCGAGCGCAACGAGAGCGCATATTACAATGAACCACTTAAAATTTGAAATATCTGTGAATGCTTTTATTTACGGTTTGGCTGGTTTTTGTCTCGTTGTTTGTTGTCTGTTTACAGTATGAGCGGGATGTGTGCGGGTGCGTACGCGCGCGGGCTCGCACCAGAGAATGATGACAGTTAAATGGCTTCTGCCGGTGCACAGGAGATTCCGAGCTGTTGTTTTATGGTAAATTAAATCCAAAAATGTGAAGTAATTGTTTTCGAAAATGCATTTGAACGTGAACGTGTGTATGTGAGTGTGGCTGTCAGTGGTTTTTTTTTGCTACTCTTTACTCCGGTCTTATTTTCATTTAGCTCGCGGTCGTATGCAGCAGACAGACACAAGGCAGACAGTTCGGGTGGATGTGTTAGCAAATGGAATATGATGCATTTTGCATATAGTCGCTTTACGGTCGGTGAGATGATGATTGTGATGATGGTGACAAGTGAATGGAAAATCAGGGCGCGCATCACCGTCGCTATGCAATTAAAAAGGCATGCTCATGTATATGTATGCATTCAATGGCGAAAGGCAAATCCACAGACGCCGGAGCACATTTGAAATATTTTGGAATCATTACAATTTGCATAATTTCAGTTGCAATGGGTCAATGTGACGTCAATTTTGTCTCTCGCTTGCCAACCTGCATCGCTCGAACATTTAACCAAATTCTTGAAAAAATTTCCAGCGCAAGTTGTAACTTAAAACGAAAAATGCGATTCAATCGTCAAGAATTTAGCACAAACTCCAAGTTCTTTCTTCATTTTAAGTTCATTTCGAACAAAAAATTGGAAATTTATTCAAATCTTTAGGTAAAATAGAACAATTTTTATCAGTGGAATAATCAATCGATATATTGGACTGTGGTGTCCAATGTCCATTCGTATAGGCTTGTCCTTTGCGTGCTCATTACCGCCAAAAAGCCGTTGAGCTGATAACAAATGGCATGACGCATTTTTAAAAGCTCTCGTCCAAATCTGTTCGCTTATGATAATTAACCATAATGAATATAAATGTCCAATTAAACTAATATTTATCAGTTCAATCAAGACGAAAGTTTTGGACGCACGCAATATCAATACACCGCAATACTAATACCATTGTGGCTGTGACGACCAAAGTGGTCGAGATTTCGGAATGTGATTTCGCACACGTTTTTCTATTTAGAGAGAAACGCTGTTTCTTTGTCGACATAATTTTCGGAAGTTCATTAACATCTGCTTTAAAATGTATAATATTCAATTGATAGGCTGATTTGTGTAGATCTTGAGTTTATATGACTTTCAAGCTACGGAATATAATCACCATTTTTTTCGATCAAATTGAAGCGCTCAATAAAAATGACACTGTCCAACAAACCTGGTGTGATCACGCATTTTTTTTCTAAGTCTCTTTCTATCGATCTTTATTCTTTGGAGAAAAAAAAATGTGAAAAAACTGGCTAAGAAAGCCTAACGAAGTCAAATCCGTAGAGTCAGAAGATCGATGAAAGTCTATTCGAAAATCAATTGGTTACTCTATAGCCAAAGCAATATTGGTACCAGCGTCAAAATTTAGCTTACATATATTTTGTCACTCAAATTGATTATGGTCGCTTGAAATGCACTGATAGATATCAATACAACATCGATTTTAATGATCTGCGATCAATCTTGTTCGATGCAGCTCTCGATCGAGAGAGAGAGAGACGGAGAAAATGAAGTCTATTTAAACTATTTGGATTATTAGTCAACCAATTATCAATGCTTCATGTGTATTCTTGGCTGGTTTAGCGCATTGTGATACCCGCATTATTAATTAATTACGGTTTTCGCTGCGACTTGCTCTTTTTTTTTGTATTAATTAATAAACATCGTTCACGAGATTTGTGCTTTGCTTGGGAATTCTCACAATGACATCATATACGTTCAATCCAATTTTTTTTTCTCTCCAAAGTTCACATTATTAACAGACTTGATGAATGGCTTCAAATACAAATGGGCCATTTAATCGGTTTAGCACCACTTGAAACAAATGCCATCAGTGCTCCGGACAATGACTTCTGATTTTATACCTATTTAAATTCGTTGATTTTTTTTAAGCAGTAACCCGCTGCTCAAACTTTAAATTCGATTTCAATATTGTGTGTCACACCGAAAACAAAACAAAAATAAACAGAAATTGAAATTCACGAAGATTTAAAAAAATGAACCGTAAAATCTTAGCGGATTTCAACCGTTTTTTGTTTACTGTTTGCAAAACTCATCCGAGTCGGATGAAACGGCATGGCTGAGTGGGTGAATGAGAGTATTCAGACATGATTACGAGTAATTAAAACGTTGAGCTGGATTTTATGTAATTATACCTCAATTATTATTCTCATCGCGGAAAAAAAAGTCGGCACATGTCAAATAAGTCTGGATCTGGAATGAAACAATAGGCATCGAATTAATTGAAAACGTCCCAGCTTATACATGTGTGAACATGTAAGTGTTGAATGGAACATACACAAAAATGATTATTTGCATTTTGAAACAAAGGAAAACATGCGCCATTCGTGAATATCACGTTGAGCCATTGATTTTTTTTTTGCTAGTTTATCTGTTTTCAGCGGCCACTGACTCAATTTTTCAATAAAGTGCATTCATCTCAGGCATCTTTGTTCAACTTATTCGACCAAAAATAAACACAAAATCGACGTAAAATGTCAAATTCCTTATTTAAAATACCATTTGGATTCTGTTTTGATGCCAAATATTTTTTTACAAGCCAAAAAATTGCTTATTCCATTTTTTTTTAAGTCCAAACTACTTATGGATGCAAACTGATCCGCTACAGCGCGTGTGTTTGTGTGTTTGGAATCTATCCATACGTTTATTCATGATATTTCACTTTCTTTTGCTGATCGACGACGAAAATGTACTTTCTTTCACTGTATTATCAAAATCAATCTCGTTTATAGTTTGGCCCGCTTTAATGCTCTTACTGCTCGTTTTCTCGAATATCTGGTTTAAATGTGCCGCTATGTAAACTGCACGAATTTAGTTTGATTAACAGCTATGCGAGACGCAATCAAATTCTCAACTCAAACACAGACTTTTTTTCTGTCTATCTTTCCACGCTTTATTTGTTTCTAATATTATTTTACGTCAAATAGTTTTTTTTTCGTCGATAAGTTTTTCGGATGATGTGCTGTAGCTTTTACCAGTTTGTTTTTATTTGTTTTGGTTCAGCTCAGCTCAGCATAAGCTTATAAACAATCCAAATGGAAACATATATCAGATTATTATGAAAGACATCAAAAGAAAACGCACCGACTCAACAAATCATATCACAACGAGACTGAATTCCCAAATTGCTTGTTAGACACTCAACCGATAAATTTGTATAATTAAAACATTGATAACATTTTCCACTAATTTAAAACGGTTTTTCGGAGAAAAGTCGAATAATTTCAATTTGGTATTCATAATTTAAATGCTAATATTTTATTGGAATGTAAAAAACTACCTCCCCTAACATTGAGCAGTGAGCCGTGGCATTCGACGAAAAACAGTCGCATACACAAATCGATGAACAGAGACAATTGTACACGGAGTTTGTGTGAAAAGATTTAATTGGATTGGATATTTCATTAATTCGCATTATGTGCACAGTTAAAATACGTAATAATAACACAACGACAAAGCCCTTGCCGACACGAACGAGCAAAGTGACATCGAAATGCCATAAATTAATGATCTTATTTATGAAACATACAAGAAAAACAAAACACATCAAAGAAACACTCCATGGCGCAACCACCAAGCAATAACCGAAGTGTAATAGTAATTTGGTTATTGTGCGATGAACTGAAATTTGACACAAAACATTCTAGTGGAGCTTTATATTACGATCTTTTTTTTGCGCGATTGTTTATTTTAAATGTTTTCTACACGAGGTACATCAATACCTAATAGGTATTACTTATACAAGTAAAAGCTTTGAAATATTTTATAACAAGTGAAAAGATGCATAGCTCATGAATACAAGCAAACGTGATCAAAATACTCTCAATTAGCAGTTAATACTAGAAAACAGATTGGTTAAAGACAACTCTTTGTCTATTCTGACACTTTCAACGCACTTGACAGCGCATTTTGGCGGTTCATGTTATAAATTGAAAGAGAGTGTACACTTTGAATTTCACCATGTCACTGATAGACAATATGATGTCCAACTAATTGAATAATTCCTAATTTTTGACCATATCAGATGGATTTATTAGGTCGTTCAAATATTTTTAGATATAATAATAACAAAAGCCAAGCAAATAAATAAAAATTTCAAGCTGACAATATTCAGATAACAAGCACAAGCTCAGCCAACATCGGCTTTTGTTTTCTATTTTTGGTTCTGTGCAAACAATTGTATCGTGCAATTCTTATCTAGCGTCGTGAAAGTTGTTATCAGTTGTGTGTTGAATAATTTCGGCATTGACCAATGAAATCATTTCATAAAAATCGGAAGATGTGTTTACATAACGCAAATTTTCGCATTAATTTTCGCAAAATATCAAATCAATTTAGACTCAGCGATTTTGTGAAAAATATGGCAAACATTTGAGTGTACGCAAATATTGAAAACTAAAAGAATAAATTCATCATAGCATTGGACAATTAATACAATTCTAGAGGTAGCTTTGAAAATCAACATAAGTTACACATTTATTTGTTTTATTCTTTAAGCAAATTGTATACAATATATTTCATATATCAATTGGGAAATCAATAATCAATGTGTTGTAACAAATTTCATGCTAAATAACTTGATTGTAGATATTGGACTAGTTGAAACAAATCATTCCGTTCGTGAGTGATCTTCTTTAATCAAATCTGCACCCTTTTCACCGATCATGATGCAAGCTGCATTAGTATTCCCTGAGACTGGGCTGGGCATTCTGGAAAAAAAATTAACAAAAAAAAAACGCATTTCAAACATTTTTTTCAAATGGATCGTTAAGAATATAAACTTACATGCCGCCATCGATTTGCCTTAATCCTTCAATACCACGAACTCGCAGGCGAGGGTCAACAACGGCTTCTGGATCTGTCGAATTTCCCATTTTGCTCGATCCAACTGTGTGATTCGTAGGATAGGAAATGTAACGAATATAACAGAGCCAGTATTCATCCGACATGTATTCCAAATGATCACACCTATCGAGAGGCAGTCGCAATAGCCTAGCACCTTTCTCCTTATACGCTTTTGTATTCAATACTCCAAGCACTCTTTTTATCGCTCGGAATAAAGCTTGAACATCGTCTTTATCAGTTAAATACTTTGGTCGCATTATCGGTTTATCATACGGTGACGAGCTACTCAATTTAATATAACCACGTGATTTTGGTTGCACCAACTCTGCAAAAATGCACCCAACCTCAAACTTTTTGAGTTTTTCATTGAAAAACTCTTTAATTTTCGGTTCGAAACCAGAGATCACTGTCCTTTGTATATCGACATCTTGTGGCAGGTGTAAATACGACAGTTGCATATCGGGATACTCCGTTCCGTTGAAAGTATTTATAAATGCAGTCGCTTGAACTTGAAATCCATTTGCAAGTGGACCAGTATTATGGATAGCAAAATTGTAAATGCTGTCAAGTTTAGCATGGATCGGATCGATTGGTTCTAATTCTGAAAATGAGAAAAACAATCGCACAAAAATGTGTTCATACAAATTCTCACCAACACGCAAATCACTTTTCACTTGTATTCTCAGCTCTTCTAAGTGATCTTTTGGGCCAACACCAGAATTCATTAGAATTTTTGGGCTCATGATTGAACCAGCTGATAAAACGACTTCCTTCGTTGCCGCGGCTTTCATTTTACGCTCTCCTTTGTAAACAAACTCAACACCAGTTGCTCGATTATTCTCGTCGATTAAAATCTTCTGAACATCAGCATTATAAATGATATGCAAATTCTTTCGCTTGCTAGCTGGAATGAGGAACGCCTTTGCCGTGCTATGTCGTCTCCCATTCCAGAAATTTCCCTGAACATCGACTGCACCAAATATTTTGTCTGCATTTATATTATCAATCGTTTCGATTCCAATTTCGCTTAAAGCTTTAAGGTACACTTGATTGTACGGTAAATCTTCTCCACTAAACGAATCCACTTTCATTGGTCCTTTATCGCTATGATACATTCCATTCTTATAATTCACAAAATCCGTATTTTGATTATTTTCTGACTTTTTGAAGTAGTGCAACACACTATCATAGTCCCAGCCGGGATTTCCATACGAACTCCATTTATCAAAATCATGTTTATGACCACGAACGTACAGCATTGAATTGATGCTGGATGTTCCACCGAGCATTTTACCTCTAGGTCGGAGACACCCCTTTGGATACGACAGACAAGCGGTATCGGACTCAGTACGGAATTGCCAATCATATTCAGAATTCAGCATTGTATATTGAAAACCTGGAATCTACGAAATTCAAATGGACTCTGAAGAAAAATGATGAAAAAGATCGATTATTTTGGTAATTACTTCAGATTCCAACGGTGGAGTGCCGCCAGCTTCCAATAAAAGAACTTTCCAATCTTCAATCTCACTTAATCGACTTGCCACAACTGCACCCGACGATCCACTGCCAATCACAACGAAATCGTATTCGTCTAAACCTAAAAAGAATTAACTCACACCCGAATTTCATCTAAATTTAATTTTTTTCCACAGAGTTACCATTTTTCAATGCTGTTTCGCCATAGTCTTTCGGCCACATTTCAGGTGGAGAGATCGAACATTGAACCGCGAGAAGCGTTTGAATTAATGTTGTCACCAAGTGATTCGCAGGTCCAACACTTTGAGCCGAACATTGTGATGAAAATGAACTCATCTTGCTGAAGTGCGATCTTATGAACGTCTTGTGTACACAACCGAATACACTCAAATGAACGGTAGGTACTTGTTGAACTTACTTTTAATCAATGTCAAGTTTTTTTTTATTGTTTCTACTTGAAAATTTGCTCGTGTGAGAGAAAAGAAACTTAGAATGAACGCAATCAGCACAAGTCAAAGAGTTAGGAATGCGCTTTATGACGTCTGCGATAACGTAATAATATCAGCGACAAGTGTTTTTTGTTAGCCTGCCAAGCGCAACTCGTGTGTTTGATCAATTAAAAAGACAATTCTTTGTTGACTAATTGATTAAGACTTTTTTGAAGACATTTTTGATTATGAAGTGATCCATACATATGGTAAACCGATCATGTTTTCACTGTTTTTTTTGTACATTATATATTACGTCACTTTGTCTGAGAGTTGAATTATCTCTGAACTAAAGTGTTTCTTGATAGAATATTTCATTGAAAACAAAATGATTTAAAATCTCAAACAAAGTTTTATATTTGTGAACACAGTAAATTGGTTTTACAATCGAGAGTAGTCTTCTTTAATCAAATCTGCTCCCTTTTCACCGATCATGATGCAAGCCGCGTTAGTATTTCCTGAGACCGTATCTGGCATTCTGAAAACAAAAACAATGTTGATTAAATGAAAAACTGCTTTAACATGAATGAAACGCAAAAAATGAAATCCCCTACATGCCACCATCAATTTGTCTCAATCCTGTGATACCGCGAACACGTAGCCGTGGATCGACAACAGCATTTGGATCTGTTGAATTTCCCATTTTGCTCGTTCCAACAGTATGACTGGGTGGATAGGAAATTTGTGGAATATAACAACGCCAATATTCATCCGATAAATACTCAAGATCATCACATGGCTTCAAGGGAATGTGCATAAGCTGAGCATTTCTTTCTTTGAACGTGTTCGTATCCAAAAGGCTAAGAATTCGTTTGATTGCTCGAATTATTGCTGTAGTATCTTCATCGTTGGTTAGGTATTTCGGTCTAATTATTGGCTTGTCTGCAAACGATGTAGTGTTAAGCTTGATGTAGCCTCGTGATTTCGGTTGAACCAGATTGACTTCTATATAGCCAATATCTAAAGTTTTTGTTTTTTCCGTTAAATAATCTCGCATTTCTGGATTGTATGCCGTATAGCCGGAGCTTGAGAAATTCGAATTTACAGGATTATGATATAAATGAAGTTGAAAATCGGGATTTTCAGTTTCATTGCGTGAGTTTATGAAACCGGTCATGGTAGCTGACAATTGTTTGGTTGTTAATAATCCTGAATTGTGCATAAGAAGTTTATATAACTCATCAAATTGGGAACTGGCCGAAGAAATTCCGGAAGGTGTGAATGAAACAAACAATCGAGTAATCAGATGATCAATATAGTTTTGACCAACCGGTAAATCGCTCTTGATTGGAATGCCTAAATTTTGTAGTTCATCTTTTGGACCAATTCCGCTCAGCCATAGAAGCTTCGGACTCATCATTGAACCAGCAGATAAAATAACTTCTTTTTTAGCTGTCGCCTCCAATCGGTGATCTCCTTTGTACGTGAATTGAACACCAGTCGCCCGATTGTTTTCGTCAATGAGAATTTTCTCGACTTCGCCATAATAAATAATATGAAGATTTTTTCGATCTTTAACTGGTGCCAAAAACGCTTTGGCTGTGCTTTCACGTCGTCCATTCCATATATTTCCTTGATTATCTCCAGCTCCCACATCTTTGTCACCATTTATATCGAAAATAGTTTCAATGCCAATCTCGCTGAGTGCATTTAAATAGACATCTTCAAAAGGCTTTCGTGGACCATAGAAATCCACTTTCATTGGCCCCGCATCACTGTGATATCTCCCGTTTTGATACTCCACATACGGCTTGTATTGATTGTTTTCCGACTTTCTGAAGTATTTCAGCACATTTTCATAATCCCAACCGGGATTTCCGTAGTAATCACTCCATCGATTGAAATTATCTTTGTGACCACGAATGTATTGCATCGAATTGATGGCAGATGATCCACCCAACATTTTGCCTCTAGGTCGGGAACATCCAGTGGGGTATGCCAAACAAGCTGTTTCCGATTCGGCTTTGAATCTCCAATCAAATTCCGTTCCATATAAGCCACCTTGAAAACCTGGAATCTGATCGAAAACCGGTCTTTGAAAAAAGTCAATGAAAATTGGTAAACGTTTGATGATGTTACCTCTTCTTCAATAGGAGGAACACCACCAGCTTCTAATAACAAAACATTCCAATCCGCAATTTCACTCAGTCGACTTGCAACAACTGCACCCGACGATCCACTCCCGATCACAATGAAATCGTACTCGATAAGTCCTGCATGAATTCGAATATTTAGAAGAAAAAAAAACATTTTTACTTTCAAAGACAATTTACCAACCATTTTTTAAAGCCACTTCTCCGTGATCGTCTGGCCACAGCTCTCGTGGTGAAATTGCACAATGAGCAACCAGAAGTGTTTGAACTAACGTGGTAATCAGCTGATTTGCTAATCCAATACTCTGCGATGTACACTGCGGCAATGTAATATTCATTTTTCACTTCACACTTCACAACAACTCCGAACAACTATGAACGAATAAAGCAACTAGCACTGTATTTATAGTCTGAAGTTTATTGGAAAGTACGAATTTACAAAAAGAATGTCAATATTAGTTTATCTTTTATTTTATCGAAGTCGTTATGTATTCACAATGAATCGTATAACACCCATTCGGAATTCCCAGTTTTTTTTTAAATAGATAAGAGTTGAATCACTTCTATTTTTGTAATAAATTGCTTTCATTTCAGTTCATGTGCATGCTTCCTTTGCAGGTTTCATTTACTTATTGATAATAACTTGTCTACATTTAGATTATTCAAGGGAATAAACGACACAAAGTTGGTTTTTGGTTCTAAACACGTGTAGTGCGGTATGTAGTTACGTACGTACGTATGTAAATAAATAGCAACAACTTGAAAACAACGCATTATAATTATTATTGAATTATAATTGAATATGAATACTGTTCACCTTGAACCAATTCCCATAATGTCAATGAACGTGACCTATACTCACACAAGAAATTGGAAATACGGAAAAAAATAATTCAAATATATCATCGAACGTAACAAGTGCTTCACATAATAAATTTTAATTCGTACATCGGAAGTGATGATAATGAAATTGACAGTTATTAGTTACATTATAAGCCTATAACATTCATTAACTTTTTTTAAAAGGCAGGTAACTTATTAGAATTTTTTTTTTTTCAAAAAATCAAATTTTGAAATTTGTGACTAATTAACGAAATTTCATACCAAACCACTTCATATTATGCAACATTTTAGTTGTTACTTATAAATCCTTATAGGATCGAATATTATCTTCTTTTATCATGTCTGCTCCCTTTTCACCAATCATTTGACACGCTGCGTCTGTATTTCCTACGTAAATTACAAATATATTATTATTTCGAGTTGAAATATGAAAAAAATCGAATGATATGTACAAACCTGACACGACATTGGGCAATGGGCATTCTGAAAAATATTCGAACGAAAATGAATCAATTCAACGCAAAGGCCAATGAAAACAACTTGTAAAATAATTGCATTAAGAATTCAAACTTAAATGCCACCGTCAATCTGTCTCAATCATTTTATGCCACGAATTCGAGAAGAAAAATAGTGAAATACGTCTCATGGAAAAGTTCATGCCCAACAGTTCCAATTCCTATGTCAAATCAATTTTTTTTTAAATTAAATTGGCAATAGCAGCGTCATTGATCTCATAACAGATAACTACAGATAACAACCCATATACATATGTAAAGTATGAAGGATTTAGTTTTTAAATTCAGACTCTTACAAAATGTCGGTTCTTTTTTGTCTTTAGTGCATTTCCTTCGTAATTAACACATACGTAACCGTGGGAAAATTGTCATCAACAAAGACTCAGCAGCTACATTTACACCTACGCGCTGTGCGATGCGTGAAAGTACCTCTCGCGTTGAACGGTGTTGAGTAAAACAAAGACCGAAACGTCAGAGCGCATTAAGTCGCTTGGAAAGTGTGCTGGAGTAGACGTGAAATGATTGTTGTGTCGACATTAAATACCATTTAAAGAAGAAAGAAAAAAAACCAAATCATAATTTTCATGTTTATTGTCTTGTCTTAACAAGGCTTTGATGACGGCTTAACATGGCGGTGATTGGTGATAATTTGTTGATGCCATCAAACCGATAAAAATGCTCTTTATATGTTTGGGCGTTAACTCAAATTAGTAGTCAATGGTTTTGAGCAGATACTTGATGATTTTCTTTTCAGTTTTGGTACTAAAATGGTCCATTGAATTCTGATATTGTGAGGTGAAGGAAATGATGGTTGTCAGTTCAGGCGTTCCTACGCGATATGTTTATGAGTTTTTGTGCAGTAGCCAACGCACCACATTCAACCCAGAGTCGTTCGATTTAAAATGTAACTATCCCGTTCAAAGTATTCATGGAATGCGGTTTTTTCGTTGTTGTTGGCTTGTCATCGGTTCAATATTCGCTTGAATGTCTGCACCGGGAAAAATGGAGACAGCACAATGCCGGCATCTGCGCTGGCAGACAGAAATTTTCTGTACAAAAAAGTTGAATATATATTTCATGGTGCGCGCTCGCGTTTATCAAGCTGAAAGTGTTCACTTTTTAACTTTTTGCGGTTCGCCTGCTTGTCATAACTGCTTTTTCTTCTTCTTCGTTTTGCCATTCAAATAATCTACTCATATTTAATTTTTGTTGACGTTCCAGACGACGGATTACATACAATCGCATGCGCAAAAAACGCACCATGTGTCGCGATTGATTTCGCGTAATCCGACTACCGTTCAAAATGAACGAAACCCATACTCTCACACACACAGAGAGAGAGAGAGAGAAAGAGACGTGTGTATATTCCCGAATAAAAATTGTATCAAGCCGATGTCATCATCGTTATTATTGGCGGCAAATGTTTTGCGGCGCGCCGAAAATATAATTTATGCAAACCGTTTAGACGACTTTGCTCGATCATCGCATCAATGCTGTTTTTTGTCTTCTTCTTCTCTCGGGAGGAAAGGAGGCAAATTTTGTTGGTTGACTTGATTGCACAGAGCAAAAAGAAAAAACGAGAAATCGTCATTACAATGGCCTTTTCCGAAGTCGTGCGCTCGCGCACATACACAGTCTCTGCGAGCAATCACATCCAGCGCTTAACCGACTAACATCAATTCCTCATATTGTATCATTATAGCTTAATTTTAATCTTAATTTATACGATTTTAAGTATCATAAACAACATATATGACACTCATACGCTACCATATTCCAACGCTCGTTAAAGTCGGCCGTATGTGTGTGTCAATGTTCAGTATGCTGTGGCATTTTAACGATTTGAGACAAGAGCGAACACAACACGACTGGACAGATTCCAAAGAAGACAGCGAAGGCAAGGCAACAGCCAATCCAAATCGTAATGCTCACCGAATCACACAAATCAACTATTAACAATTATGATTTTAATTTTCTACCTACTCTTGAACGCATTTTTTTTTCTTCAACCATTAAACATCGAAATTATTGTTATGGCGGTTGGTGTGTGTTTGTACTTTATATTTTTCTTCTTCCTCTTTCGTACCGACATCAGATGCATTATTCTCTCCGGCATAGCAGCAGCAGCAGCAGCAGCATTATCACCCGAGTATTAAAAAATCATATTTTCATTTATGAATGACTTTGTGAGTGTTTTTCATTCACATTTCACTTTTTTATTTCCCAGTTCTACAGGTTTTTTTTTGTTCTACGAAAGCGATAGCAAACGAGAGAATCCATTTGAACTTTATTGGCATTTGATTTACAGAGGTGCACTGAAAAAATGTAGGCATGTGACGCATACTGATACGTATAAAATGTTGCGGGGCTGCAAGCGATACTAAATCCAACTAGATATCCCTGTTCATAATCCTCTTCGAAATGTCTTCGGCAGTGGTCGTGTTACACAATTAAGCGTCCAATAAATTATGTTATGTGCTTGTGCTTGTGTGTTTGACTCACACTCGGCGTGCACCGGTCGCTAGCATATTTTTCGGTTTGAATTATGACGATTGTTGCGCTCTTGGAAATGAGTTCCGCTGCATGCAAACCAGGCAACATGTTTGACGTGCTCGAATCATTTAATAGAGTCTTAAAGTGTGTGTTCTTTTTCATTTTCGAAATTTAATTTATTCATGCCTACGCACTGTTCGCCGTTGCTTCACGTTGATTAGTTAGCATTTGTTTGTTATTTGCTACTGTTCGTGGTTTATTCCTTCGTTTACGAGTAAGAGAGCCAGAGCATGTCTTTGTGAATGAAACTGTTCATTGTTTGCTCGAATTCATTCATCGTTTTTCCCATTCAATTCCAGAGCAAGGCGAGAGAGTTGAATTTGCGTGCGCCGCGTCCAACTATAGTTCTGGGAAAGGTCAATTTTAATTGCATCTCCTTTAAACAAGTTCCAAAGGCGAACCGTGCGCTTCCAGCATGAACGATCTCAAACACTTACCGTTTCTCTTTCTCAATGAAATTGTTATATATATCTGTGGAGTCTCTCGTTAGATGCGATTGCCGATGAGTGACTGAGTGTGTGAATGCAGTGCCATTGATAGAGAATCGACCAAGAAGAAAAAACTCCGATCCAAAATAATTGCTATTGTGTTCCACAAATTATAACAATAATGGGAAATCTTCTTAAAGCGCGGTAGTCAAAATCGATTTCATTCACAAAATGAAAAACTCAATATACATAAAAATCGACGAGGTTCCAACTCACGAAATCATATTATGACAATCGCTTATGATATAACTGAATAAAGTCTTTTCCCTCTTTTTTTTCGCTCAATGACTTTTTTTCCTCTGTTCATTCATTGAATTGATGAGCGTGTGTCTCGGTTCTACCATTCGAGAATCGAAAATCTGTTTTTTTTTCTTCATCATGACCATTGGAAGCACTTGGCCACACTGTTATCCAGCCGAGCGTCTTGTTAATTTTGATTCATCAATCGATGCGCAATGAACGAACCGATGAAATTCTGAAGATCTACTAACCGAAGCCTGCGACTATTCTTAAATGAGAATAACTCAATTTTTTTTTCCTATTATTATTTATTTGCTCATGTTTCCACATGGAAATGGGGGGCTCTTTGAGATCGAGATCGAATCATCATTGAAACAAGAAAATGAAAATTATTTCAAGCGAATGTGAGTGAACGATGGAGAAAGAGATGGAGATGGAGGGCATAAAAAGTACGTCAAATCCGAACGAAAAATCCGGCAAATAAATGAAACGGATGAAAATTGGAAAACAAGAGCACCATTAGTTAACAAAAATGTGTATATCATCGACTTGAGGTCACAGACACAATCCGTATACTTTTCATCTCTCAACATTCAAATTATATCGATTGCATCTTGAGATTCAATTCCGAATCTTGCGCGCGAGCTCCCTCTTTCTCTCGTCTCTCTCCCTCTCGCTCTCTCTCTCTCTATCTTGCTCGTCTCTCCGAAATAGCTTTGGCTTTTGGAACAAGTACTCGTTATATGTTTCGCTACTAATATAGCGATTTCATTTCGAAAATGTAAATAAATCATGTGTAACAATAAAATGAGAGACACAGAGATTGAGATTGAGAGAGAGAGTGAGAGCGAAAGAGAAAAGAAAAACGAATTATCTCGATCGATGGTGTAGTTAGTATATATATTGCTGTTCAGTCATTTCGATCAAATCGAATGCCTCCGGTGAATGGACCAAAATCTAATTCGTTTCTATTCCCCGATCATGACTGTTAAACAAGCGCGATGCAGATAAAGAATACGAAACAACGAACGAAACGAGAAACATATAAAATCAAAGATTATGTATTTCGTCAAACTGTGGTGAAACTGTATCAGTTTGGATTTAGTTTAATTTCACACCAATAAATCGACAAAATAACAAGAAATGGAAAAAACAACGAAAACTAATTAAAAGCCAATATTCTCACTTGATCCAAATATCAGATTTTTTTTTCTCCAGCTTTCCAAAGTGGAATGCGTGTACTGTGTGTGGTATGAGAGTGAAAATATGCATTCCAAATGTGACCCATGAACCAAAAACCATAAAGTTATACGCACTTTCACTACGACCAAAAGAGAGATAGAGAGAAACACACACACACACACACACAACTGAAACAAAAGCACTGAGATCTCATTCACATTGAGTTTAATCAGAGCAACGAACCGATCCGTTTAGAATTCACTTTTTTCTCGAAAATCTCATGAAAAATTTTATTCCGAAAAACGTTGGATCGCAGAGTGAATGAATGCAACGAAAAACGTTTTGATTCATAAATGCTGAATATTTCCGATTTTTCACGTAGACACCGTTTCTAATGTTCTCCACGTAAGCAAACGGATGCGTGTGTAGGAATTCTTTAGAAAATGTGCATGTTTCTGTGTAGCTAATTTCAGTAAAACATTCGGAATCACGAAATTGCCGTTCCAACGAAACGAAACTTCTGACGGCGTTTCTTCTCGTTTTTGTTTTCAGCCGTATGCGAATGCGGTGTTGGAGGTGTAGAGAGGTTTGGAGGCTTTTGCTTCAGCTCGTAATTTAGTGCGGTTTTTCGTTGCAGCAATGGTAATAAAAAAGGAAATGAAATTATGAAATCTTTTTGCCTAGTTTTTTTTCCTGCTCTCACCCTCTTTCTGCTTCATCGCGGTCGCTTTGACAAATAACTTCAGAACGAAGAGCAAAGCTCATACGCTTGAACGGCACCGGCAGCCGCTTGGTGTGATTTGTTTATTTGGTTTTGCACATTATCGCATAATTTAAACAATTATTCCAGTGGTAAATTTCAAATATACGGAGAATATGGACAATATGGCATTAAATTGGATGGTTGGCACGCATTAAAAAAACGCCATGCGGAGCCTTTGACTTCTATTGTCATTGCCATAAATACAATATATTTTTTGTGCTACCGAATGGTTTTTTTTCGCTCCCGCTTCCTCTCTCATCGTTCTGCGTCTCCAGCGCGCGCACACACACACACAGAGACTACGGCCGGGTTCAATGTAAGCGCGCGCGTGGTTACGTTTTTATAACCATTATTTCATTAGTTGCATGCTGTTGATTGCACGGCCATCCGCGATGCCAGAGATTGGCCCAACAGCAGCAGCAGCACAGTTCGTTTGCCGATTTACGGCAAGTGAATCTGTTTGTGCGTGCATTGATGTGCAAACCATTAAATAATCATAAAATAAAAATCATCGCACGGAAAATATGAAACGAGAAAATTGTTATTTACATTACATTTGCGGTGAGGCTGTGACTCTGACTCTGACGAAAGACGAAAACACAAACATGAGCGAATTCGCTCAATAATTTCCGTACGAAGTGAATTCTACTTAAAAACACTGAATGCTATACCGGTTTATTTGAACTGAATTGCATATCGAAGATTTGTGGCATGTTTGCCTGAATGAATGAATGAATGGCGTATCAAAATTTATGATTGCCACAAACGACACTCTGGCTCGCGTCTTCGTTTCTCTCTCGCTCATTTTTTGTCTGCTGGCGCGCAAACCACATGAACGTCGACACAATAATAGAGACAAATGTCACACTGCACATCGAAAAATTATCTCTCGTGTAGGGAATGTGTTTCTGACGCTCGCGTTCGCTCGCTCACTTCATCCAATGCACTAAATCTCATTTTATTTCTTCAGTTTTTTTTTTCTGTTATTGTTGTTGTTGCTCATTCGCTTGGGATCTCAATCATCAACATATTTTGCAGAAAATGCTCCACAAGCCATGACGCTGCATGTCATTTCGTTCTGTACTTAATGACAAAAAGTCATATACAAAAAAAAAACGAATCGAAACGAAATGAGAACTCTCATTCCACTAACGAACGTCGTAAAAATATAACTGTTGACCTCATTTTGTCAATGCGAAATGCACAGGTAGTTAAATGATATGAAATAATATCGAAATCACCGATGATTTGTTCCGATTTTCAAAGTTTCTTTCGTTACGTTCCAAGCACCCACCAAAGTTTTTATCCACCCGATTGGAGTGACATGACATATTTCAACGTATGTATATGTGTCGGCCGGTATCTTGAGCCAGTGTTCGACCGACACAATGTGATGTGAAAAGGCGCACACGGTTCCTTCAATGCATATATCATATCACCCCGTTTCCTATTTCCAATAGATGACATTTGCATGGCACGACGAGTAAACGGTTACATTTCGACGTAGCATACAGTCATGTGAAATGACACCGGAAATTCAAATGGCAACGAGAAATCTAACGAAAAGTCAAATTCATTTTCATTTCCTCGATTCAAAATTGCGAATGATATTATTTCTTCAAACAATTTGCGCGTTTTGAGCGTTAAATCGATGCTATATGTCATCGAAGACCCCGCGCCACGTTTAGTGGTTTTGTTCCCGCTGCGAAAAGGGGATAGAAGATAGAACAGCACAGCCTTAATTAACTGTTAATTTTTTTATCACAAATGGCGCACGTTGTGAAATCTACTGTGAACTAACTGTTCGCGAGAGCGCGAAATCATAATTTTATTAATGCTGCATTGTGCAATCAATGAATTTAATGAAGGCAAAAGAAGAAAAAAACAGACTCAATATTGATTATTTGTTAATGGAAACGACTTGTTGTCTGCCAATTCTTTTTTACTTGCTTCGATTCAGACAGCAAAAAAAGAGTCTTTTGTTCTTGCCTTCAAATAGAAACGATTGGTTAAATTTGAAATGCCCATTGATAAACCAACACACACACACATGCACGCAGATACAATACGAATAGGCAACAAAAATCGGCTAAATGTAATGGGGCTCTCCTACGGTCGGCACAGCACACAAAAGAAACGACCAAATGACATACAAAGAACAAAGGAAATTCTTGCAAAACTAGACACAGCGGCACACTAGCCCAACAACAAATTCCAAATGGCAACAGGTGTGACCAATTTATATGCGATTCCATTCCATTCGATTCACAATCAATCAGACTTACGTACCCATTCAAGAAACAACAAATTCACTACACTTTCAATGACGATGTCAAACAATCCTTTTCCGGAGAAAAACACCAACGCCTTTTGTTACACACTGAATGGGCCAAAGTTGTTAACATTTTTTTTTTAAATAACGTCAACCATGATGGAATTTTATCCGCTTTCTTGGTCAATGGAAATGATGTCCTTGTCACGGCTATCATTTTCATATTTTCACTTGCAGAATTTGCGCGTCGAGAAAAATGAAAGGAGACATTTCTTCACACAATAACAAAAAAATTCGGTCTCAATAGTTCGGAACGGATTCTTGGAAACGAATCGTTCGAATGGGTACAGAACATTCGATGACGGAAATCGATTGAATTGTCATTAGAAACATGTGCGCCCACAAAATGAGGTCGATTCGGATTTTTCCACGTTATTAGGACGAAATGCGCATTAGCATCAGATGTCTTCTATTGCATTTATTCCCACTGCAATCAGTAAGCGATAACAAAACTAAGCATATACCTATGATTGGACACGGTAATTGATGTGGAAATGGCGATATATGAAGCACTTATCAAAAGAATGACCTAGATTCGATTTCGCTTATGGAATAGTGACAAACACAATTTTTACATCGATATCATACGACTCTTCCATTGAATGCATTTCAAATTTTCTGTTTAGCCAACTGTTTTCAATCCCTTCAAAATCATTACCCATCATCACCGAATAACTGCCGTTACGAAAGTTTGAAAAACATTAAACTAATGTCAATAATGGCAGCATATCACATCGCAATTAAGTATCATATTGGATTTTTCCTATCATTTGTAATTCCAGCGATGTTTCACTCGACATTTGCCACCTGTCCACCAATATGTATTTGATACCGTTTGTTTCATTCAAATTACGTATTTTTCACAAGAACACATTAGTATCGCTAAATGCGACAATTTTCTTGGATGATTTCGATTTGCGCGACAATGTATCGTAAATTAGAATGGATATGTGTCATTAAAAAGGTAAGGACATACTTTGACTATAAAAACGTTCGAGCATTTCGAATTTTTCCTGTTGCGGTCGAACAGTGCAATTGAACGGCTGGTCAGAAAGTAAGGTTTTTCCTCGTTTAAAACTGAAAATCGCTCTATTTGGATATTAAAGAAAGAAATAAAAAGTGAAATAAATCATCAAAGTTCAATCAAAAAAAGGAAAATTAAAATGTTTAAATTCAAAGTGCTTGAATACAATCAATCGGTGATGGCTCGCATAGGTATTCATTCTCATCGTCTTAATGAAAATACCAATGATTTCTTCAAGTCGTACGTCAGTTGGTATTTTTTGTGCACTATAACCTTTTTTATCTTCGGGAGTATAATGTTCATATGCATTAATTGGCCGGCCTATGATGTTATTTCTGAGCCATGTTTGATTGCCGTTGGATGCATGCAAGTGTTGGGCATGTATATCGGTGTCGGTCTTAAAATGAAACGAGTCAAACAATTGCATCTTTGCCTACAAGAACTGATTGACAAAAGTATGTATTCCTTTTTTTAAAGCTTGATCACAACTCTTGTTCAAGATTCACTCACTTTTTTGCAGTTCCCGATGATGACGAACAAACATACTATTTATACTGGAATACGGAGCAAAAATGTCGCGATTTTTCTGCGAAATTTGTCAAATTTATTGTTGTCAATCAGCTAATGTTTGTGGCTGCTCTGTTTTTCTCCATTTATTGTATGATCGTTGGAAATTTCGACACTTCCACCTGGATTTTGCCATTCGAATGTTGGGTGCCATTTAGCACGGAAACCCCTTATGGATATTATTTGAAGTGGTTCATTCAGTTCAGTATGGGTATCGCTTATTCTTCATCACAGGTTACAATTACGGCGTATTTCGTTTGCTGTTGCCATTACATCGTTTCCATTTGTGACCACTACAAATTTGTAATGAAATTGATCGGATTGGAGACAGAAAAAAATCAAGAGGAAAAAAGTCCGTTGATTCATCAGAAGAGAAATTACGAAATTAGAAGAAAACTGGCCGAAGCGATTAATATTCACATGAAATCATATGAGTGAGAACAGGTTGCAAACGCATATTTTTAAAGATAGTCAATTTACAGCGATATTTTTTTGTACATTCCTTAGGGTTTTTAATATGGTTGCAGATGTAAACACTGGTGTCATTTTCGCCCTCTTGCCCGCCAACACCTTATTGCTGGCATTTACAATGTTTAACACCGAACATGTAACTATTTTTTGAATTATTCACCCGCTTTCCATCTTTTCATTCTCATTTCATTCTCTTCCAAATCCATTTATAGACTACCTTTGATTTGGTCATGTTCGTATGGCATATAATAAGCATTGCGTGCGCCTTAATTTGGCCAGCTCTTTTCTGCTACTTTGCATCGCATACAAGTGAAAATGTTATAAGTATGGGTGAGTTCTCATATGCTTCGAATTGGTACGAATATCCATCGGAAGTTCGGAAAAATATCATACTGATCATCGCTCGCTCGCAAAATGAAACCTTGTTCAATGGACTCGGTTTAATTGGCTGTTCGATTGAAGTTTTTGGAATTGTAAGCATTTTTGTTTCAATTAATTCTTAATCAAGTTTTAAGCCATTTGAAGCCAGTTTGGATATCCAATCTAATTCAACTTTTTTATTAGCTTTTCAAATCATCTTGCTCTTACTACTTGACGTACAGAGCCTTATCTGAAGTTTAAACAATGTGACTTTATGGATTCAACCGTTGTTGTTGGCTATTGTTCTACTAATATATGGTTATTTGCAATGTTTTTATTAGCAAATCAACGCACTTTCAAAAATTGGACACCTTTTTTGCATGACATGCAATTTATTGCATAAAAATAGGACACAACAATATGTTGAGTTACATAATAATTTTCAGCTTGAATGCACCGAAATCTTATTTAAATGTAATTTAAATAAAAGCAATTGCGCAATTTAGCCTGATTTCATTTAGTGCAATATATTTTTAAACCAAGGTCACATACGATTTACCGATAACTTGAAACAAGTGCTGTTGTACAAAGTAATGTATGTGGCATGTGTAACACGTGCTGACAATTGTTTACTATTCAACAGTCTGATAAATGTTCTGATTGCAATCTATATTCAGTTTATTTCCAACTAAATTTATGTCAGAGTGAATTTTAATGGAATATCTCAGCAGCATACGAGAAGGCGTTTCAAGGGCAAGCCACAAAATCTTTTAGCTCAGTGGCGTTCATTATTCCACTTTCACCTAACTCGAGTAATTGAAAAATGAATGATTAGAACTCATTCGGATTTTGATCCAGTAATTTGATTCCAATGAAAATCTTCGAAAGCATCCTCTTACTTCATATTATTCCTAGATTTGAAAACAGCTCATTTTCATGTAGAAAATGTTGACGATGCATTGTCCTTTTGTTGGCTCAAATGGAGAAAAAATTAGAGAGGCCATATAGCTTAAATTATTACGATTTATGTCAAATAACTCATTATATTTCAGTTTGAAAATTATTTATCGAATAAAATTTAGTAGAAAATCAATCAAATTTACATGATTGTTTAGTTGAATTTGTTTCGAAATTTCATTCGAATGTCCCATGATATCCTTCATTTGCATTTACTGTGAAATTGAAATGCGATATCATATGTGGCGATTGGTGAAAATGTTTTCAAAATTGCAAGTGCAAAAAAGTCAATTTCAATGTAAAGCAGCTCAAGCGTAGCAAATGTGAAAAAATTGCAACGAATCAGTAAATGACAATATTTCAAGAAGGTGCATGTTATTTTAAGCAAGAATTTGTTGTTGGGGTTTTGAGGTTTTGCGTCAACGATGATATCGAAATGCCGGATTTAGTTGCCTTATCTGGCTTGAATGCATTTGCGCCGGTGTGTATGCATGCAGGTAAAGCAAGGTAACAACACATCGCATATATTAAACTATGGAAAATCTCCTTTGCTCAGGTAGAAAACCCGAGAATGCAGCACACAAACTGAACTGGGAGAAATGGACACGACGGAAAACAATATGCGTAGGAATAGCTACATGATGCATGAGCAAGATGGTCATATATAGTTTGATGCTTAGCAACGAAACAGTTTTTTTCAAGAGAGAAAGAGAAAGAGAGAGAGAAAAAGTCATGAAAATAAATCAAATCCGTTCATACAATAGCATCTCAGTGGAAAAGGTATGTTTTTTTGTAGCTCCTTGAAAAAAAAATCGATTCATGAAGCGATCCTCTTAAAAAACACCTTTTCATTTGGTTATTGTTATCCTGTTTCACCCGATGTTATTGCAATGGCTTCAACAACACACACACACACACACACAGAGAGAGAGAGAGAGAGAGAGAGAAAGAGCAGAATCCTTCGCAAAATCATGTTGTAGCTAAACGTACAAGATGTTTATATGTGTGTCGAACGATGAGATGAAGTGTGGATGCTGATGTTGCATGCAGAGAGCGGCCGAAAACGAATTGAAAAGCATGCGTCCATGCATTGCATACGGTGCATCTGAGAGAGAGAGAGAGCGAGAGTGGGATTCATCTTGCGCGGTATTTGAGCTGCCTTTAAGCGTTTCACAGTTCATCGAATCGATTTTTTTGTATTTTGTTTCGTTTCGTTCTTCTTTTTTTTCTTCTTCTAAATGCATGTCCTACGCTTTCCAACCGTTTTTATCTGCAAAATGATTTATGAGCTTGACATTCGGTGTGTTGCAATTGCTGTTGCTGCTGCGACTAATCAACCCCGCCGTCAAACTTCGATGGAATTTCGTGTGTGTGGCATGAGCTGTTTTTTTTTTCTCGGGAAAAGAATAAATTTTCCATCGTTCACCGTGTCCAGGTGGGAAATGCAATTGGTTTCAATGTGTTCAGAGAAAACATTGTTACGGAATGTATCGAAGATGGATTGAAGGGCTGGACACTGGACGCTGGACAGTGTTCAAATGGATTGTTTGGCATTCTACGAAAGCAATGTAATTAACATACCTGCCAATTGCCAAACTGTTTACATTGCTTGACTTCATCTGCAAACATCGTAAAACGGTTGTTTGTCTTTCGAGAAAAGAAAACACATTTTGTAATTAGGGCCACCGAAGTGAACTCAACTTAAGTTGACTTGCTTGTTCAAACATCAAATTTTAAGAATGAATTTTAGCCCTTCTTCTCATACTGATGCACTCACCTGATTGGTTGCGAATGAAGAGAAAAGATGAAGCGGCTTTGCTCATTTGGTTTTTTCTCATTTTCTAATTATGATTATGCTATTTATACTATTATCCGAATTGAAGCCTTGAGGAATGATGAATGAAATGGAGTGTGTGCACTGTGCACTTTGTGGTTTGTTAATGATAATGACAAAAAACAACACAATTCACTTAATCGCTTCGAAAACAAAGAGGTAAACTACAAAAGGCGAAGGAGGACAAGTTTGGTAATTCACCTGCCAAAAGTGACACAAAAATGATCACCGAAGGGATCACAAGGCAGAAATGGCAGAAGAAAACGAAAAAACAACAATGTTTATGAATGAAATGCTAATTTCGTGAGGTTTAAACGATTGTGGTTTTGTAACAAAGCCTAAAGCTAGAGTACCTTAGAGCCCTATAAGCCTCATTAAACCGTTTCTGCAATGCCAAACGCAGACTCAATTAAAAACAAAACCAGAGAAGGAAAAATCGACACGAAACAACACAACTCGACTAAAGTACAAATAATTATCGATGTCAAAGGTGAAATGCAAACGGATTTCAGTTTATGACACAGAAGATATGTGCAATTTATCGCACAGCTTATTGTGAACGCTCAAGTTTTCCGAAGAAATGCAATGCGCTTAGATAAATAATGCCACAATACCAAATGAAGTGAGTAATTTGCTCATTTTTCAGACGAAAATCGATGTGCAACCAATTCAATATTTGGCTAACAGTTTGGGTTGTATTTGCATCTTGTCCGACAAATGTTTTCGATAAAATGTTCCAGATAAATATCGAAATAAAAGTATCAACTCAATTTTAGCGTCATGTTGAGAAACGTTGTCATTCTTCTGCTGAACAGCTGAGCGAACCAATGTAAACATGCACCGAATTGCTTCTCGTCCTTCGACTCACACAGACACACCGGTTGCATCGATTTTAAATCAGATAAATAAACATACCTTGGTTTGTTATTGTTTTTATACCGACCGAGAAAAAAAGACGATGCCATTCGTCCGAATCGAAAAGAATCGATTGTTGTGTACAGGCTAGAAAAAACATAGCTACTGGTTATCCCATCTGAATAGAAGCGACATGAGTAAATATTGTTTTTAAATCACAATAAAGAAAACATCTTAAACCATTCCGTAGATTCAATGCAAATACTTGAAGGATCAACAGCATTTTTTCTGTCTCCAATTTGTTCGGCAGCTGATTGTGTCGGCTTCCATAAACACTTCGATATTACCATCCATATCTCCATGATGATCGTACAAATTGGTGAGATGTAAATGGAAAAGGTCTGGCATTTAAGGATGAAAAAATGAAGGAGTAAGAGACTACTTGACCTGATTCATGAGCATAGACTCGGATACCTCAACCGTTTCGGAGTGTGAACTCATATTTTTCGGACATTAATTCCATTTGTTAATATTTGTTCGGAAAATGACGAATGAACGAAAATATAGTACGGAGATCTTGAGACAGGCATTGCATTAACTGTACGTTTATAATGATATGCGTAATCAAGGTGACTGTTCCGTACCCTACAACCGAATTTGTCGAGTAGATTTAATTTGAAACGAGTTTTTTTTCTGCCATCAGTCTGCGCGAATCAGGGAGTTTGATTAAGGGGTGTCTGTGCAACGAATCAATGTCAACACAGGGTAAATATCCAACTGAATCACGACTACAAAATACCACCATTCCGAAGGTTTTTCATCCTTTGATTCGGATTTTATCACCGTCAAATAGCTACCCTGTTCCAACTCAAAAACGCTCAAAGATCCAATCGCTGTAATTTAAATTTGATGCGATCGATGCATGAGCCGAAGCAAAACAGCATGCGAGCAAAATGTTGATTGTAACTGGAATTTCTCGAAAAAATGCAGCTGTTTTAAACCAAACACACATCGTGCGCGCGCGTGTACATCGCTCAAAAACAATTTTTACCTACGTATCGTCACACACAAACATTGTGTATCTGTTCGAATCGAGTTGACCCACTCGAAATGTATCTATTTCAACAACCGACAAACATTCCTGGGTTGGTATTTAATTTCCAAACCAAGCGTTCGTATACACTGATGCTAATGATCTAACACATTTTCTTTTTATTGTCGCATTTTATCGTTCATCTGTTCCGTCGTTTCGGCGTTATTAAATCCCGTTAAAGAGCCCATGCGACTGCATTCGTATAAAGCCAAACGCATCATTTAACTTCTTTCCTTTTTTTCGCATTCACAGAGCGAATGCACACAATACGGATTAATTTCGAACATCATTTAGGATTGATGACACTTTACATGTGCCGAACATTTGTCATACCAAACGCCTGTAGTGTGGTGGTCGAAAAAAAAACACATTCACAAAAAAGTGCTCATTGTGTGCGCCGCTCGAACATGTTATTCGAATAAGCCAATTTTTGCATATTTGATGGTGAACATTCGATGAAGTAGCCGGGCGAGCGAATGAAAGACGATGTGATGCGTGCGCCAGCATATAGAATTAGCCTTTGGCTATTAATGCGGCAAAGCGTTAATGGTCATTAATTAAAAATTTATATTTTTTGCTTTTGTTTCTGTTCGCTTTGGAATTAATAACTTTTTTTTCTTTTTCTTTCGATCTACAGGCGTTCCGTTGCTGAAATGGTAGATTAAAAATTGATAAACGTCAATGGATTACAAATAAAAATCAAATTTTATGACTTTTTTGTGGATTGGAGCTGATTGACATTCGGAAAGCAATAAAAAGCAACATACGAATCCGGGAATATGAGTTCGATGAGAAAATTAGGAAGCTTGAAATGCTTGTTGCGATAATGGCAAATTTGGCGACAGATTTATTTAGATAATTTGATTGGATGATTTCGATGGGTAAACGACCGAATCGCCGGTTTTTATCAGTTCCATTGATAATAGGCTTTGAATAACGCATTCAACACATCATTCAATCAAATAAATAAATCTATTGGTGTCAGCGAAATATTTGCGACTTTGGTGGTCCCAAAAAAAAAACATGAAAGTGCTTTCATTTGCGAAAAAATTCTAATCATTTTGTGTACAGCATCCAAAATGAATTCTTGTCTATTTACTACCTAAAAACCATCAAAATTCCAATCATTCAAATCTGGCTAGAAGCTCAACTTTTTTTATTTGTTTGAATTTGATGTGTTTTTTGGCGACATGCATTTGATTAGTTTTACTGGTCCATTTGAAGGAGTTCCTATTGTAATCGCGTATTCAGTGCACTCTATCAATAAAAATTGAATAACAATAGTTGCTACTTACGATCTAACCTTTACATGCATATTATGGCCAAATATCACTCTATTTGTTCTCGTCATTTACATAAAAACACGTTCGCGCCCCGTACCAAGTACACATACTCACCACCGCTGTGAATGTGTGGAGTGAACTGATGTCATAGAAGCTAAAAATGCGTACAAATTTTCTAGTGGTTTTTTTTATTCATCCCATTTCATTACAACGTCCATAAAAATTTGATGGCACTTTTGATGCGATTCGCTTCGAATCAATTTTTGTTCTTCGCCTATTTCGTGTGTACGGTATATCATTGTGACTGTGCGTTTGAAATGAACCAAAACGAATGATTTGAAGAGGAAAGCAGTGATTGTAATGTGAATTTTGCACGCATAACTATTTTAACGGGGAATTTTAGTATGTTTTTGTGCAGGGCATTAATGCCATGACAGTGGTAAAATCTTGAAATTGATTTTCAGCGGTACAGTGTAGTGTACGATCAAGTAATAGCAACCCCGGTTATTTTCAATTTGATGGCTCTGGCAAAAATATTGACACACCGAAACGAAAATCCGTAACCGTAATCATTTCGAATTCATCTCGAGCATGCACACGAACACACATACACACATGCGATCTGACTGATGAATTTCGATCGTGGCAGAGGAAAATCAAAAACGAAAATCGAAACGAGAGAAAGAGCGAGAGAAAAAAATCCGATCCGAACAAATGATGTCAGTGTCTCTCTATGTAATGCGATGTGATGTGATGTGATGGCGTACTTTTAATATTTTTTTTTCGGGACATACTACATCTCGGCAAATGAAAAACTGTCGGAACGTACAAGCAAACGTGCATGGCTCGAATCCATTTGCCAATAAATCATCAGGTGTGAAAGAGACAAATGTGGTAGGCAATGTAATCAGGTCAGAGCGAGAACGATGCCAACACAAATTCGAGCAGCTGCTCTATAACATCAAAAGAGGAGAGAATATTATTATAAAATTACTGTGCACGTACGCACACATCCAGAGACCGAGTGAGAGAGGGAGAAAGAACGCGCACAGAGAGACGGGACACATCTATTGTTAATAAATATAACGTAATATACCGTTCATACCTTGTAACGCAAACATATTTTACCATGTGTACCGAACGATACACAACTTTTTTGTCCTATCGTTGCTCTCTCTCTCTCTCTCTCTCTCTCTCTTCGGTTGATTCATTTGCTGCCGTTTCTCCTTTAATTCGTTTTCATGTTTTCTGATCAGAGATTTTTTTTTCCTCCAGTTCGCTCATTCATTCGTTCGTCCGTGCTCTTTCCTGTTTTTGTGCAGCATAAATTCGCTTGACGTGCATATTTACTCTTTATGATTGACTGGCTCTATTCCGTAGGTTTTGGATGTGGTGCCGTTGATTTTTCGCCGCTGCAAAAATGCATACCGATAACACGGTTGCAACATAAAACACGAAAGTTTGTGCTAGTGTGCAATGTGCATGCCAATGAAACGTTGTAAATAAAAAGGCGAACAACAACAGGAAACTTCTGAAACATCACATTCAGCTGAACTCTATATTAGAATGGTGTCGAAAGCAGAGCGAAAAAAACAAACGAGGTAGAATTGAGCACGAAGCAGCAGTAGCAGCAGCAGCGACATCAACCCCCAACTCATTTAATCGGCTTCGTAGCAGCTTCTGCACATTTTTCCTCCAAACGGTTTCGTCTTACTCCGCTTCTTCTTTTCACTCCGAATGATATTTTTCTGGTGCGCCGTCACGAAAGATGCAAAACAGAGTACAACAACAGCTTTCAACGATGAATATTTATAAGCAGAAAAAAAGCATTTATCGAATAACAGCAGTAGGAAGCGGCAACAATGGCAATCACCAGCCGAGATATATGGAAAATTCAGCCAACATACCAACACCAACGAGTCTAATATTCACACATGCTGCGACTTACATCTATAAATCGGATGAATGCATATTTTTCTACTCATTTTTTTTTTTGTAAGCGTTGCTTGACTCGATTGGTTTGATCAATTTTATCAAGTCTATTAAAAAACCCAAACTGATCTAGATCCAACAAAATGCAGATCCACATTCGACAACAACAGCAACAGCAAAAAAATTAGTTAAACGAAGTGCATTTGATGAGTGACAGCAGCAGTAGCAACGACCGAAAAAAAACCTATAAAACATATTCATCCCTCTCAAAACCTCAAAACCAGGTGTCATTCATTGTTGAAGTTGAAAAATTAATGTGACAACGGCGCGCATGAGAAATCGAATGACATTGCGAGCATAGCGCAATTACCGTCACAATTGTGTACACGCATTCCAGTCCAGAATAAAAGGTTTCACTGGCAAACAAAAACACAACCGAAAAAAAAGTGGATGGGAATCCTGATGCGGTTTTTCCTTCAAATCGAGCGCATTGTAAATGAAACAAACAAACAAAAAACAACCACACACACACACACACACACACACACACACACACACACTAGTTTGGCAAAAATTATCGTCATCAAATCAAATATGCAATTTAATTTTTATTCTCCATTTAGTTTTATTGATAAATTGTAATTGCGCAACCCTCGCGCTCGACAATGGTTCGGCTGCTGATTTCTCGGCACGGCAAACAGTAATTATGTATTTTTCCGCTACATACGGCACGACGCTAAAATGCCGTTGAAAATGGTAAAAAAAAGGATGATCGAAAAATAAACAAATAAAAAATGATCCGATCGATTTGTGCTGTGGTTTTGTGGTTGAAGTGCAAGGGTGATTGAGTGGCCAAGCCAAGCACACACACACACACACCTACAAGAGACCCGTGTATTATATTTAACAAATTTCATGTAAATATTGATTATAATATTTTGCATAAATAAACTCAATCAACTGCCTATTTCTCACACACCGAAAGCCAATTTGACAACAGCACAAACATTTTGGTTTTGGTTAATATACATGTTTGTCCATCAGAGGTGACAGAACGCAGCAGATCTTTCCGTATCATTATGATAATTTGTTGTTTTCTTCATCTTCATCATACGATTTTTTTATCAGTTGCTCCACAAAACTTTACTTATCCCATCGATTTCATTTGTTGGCTTAATTTTCTCATATCATAATTCATACTTAGTTGATGGGGCATAAATTTGGAATTATTTGGAAAAAGAAACTCATGTTTTTTTATACGCGTTCATCAGAAGGTTTTAAGACAAATCATTTGACACCGCTCATTTACTATACACACACATGCATAAAAACATGGTCGATCGTTCGCACGCTTTCCTTCAAATTAGAAACAGAAGAAACAACAACACCGAATTCAAATTGGGAGAGGAAGAGAAAAAAAAGCCCGAAGATGATCAAAATTCAAAGTTTTATTAAATTCGAATTTATGTTGACACACACCGCTATCGATTGGAATTTCAAATGAGACATTCTTACGCTCATTTCAACGAACTTTTTTTTCTTGTCGATTTTTCTTTTCCAAACTGTTTGTGTTGTGTATCGACTTGTAATTTAATGGGAATAATATGCAAATCCCAATTTTTCGTCTTCATTTTGACTTTTGATTCAGCGCGTGTGTTTGTGTTGCGTCCTCTTTTGTCTTCATCTTTCTCGATGGCTTTGCACAATTGGAGTGCTAATCGATATTGACAATCGAATGCGAAGAAATTAAATCGAAGCAGAAATGAAAAATGGCTTTTTACGCGATTTGTGTATGAATTAGGTGACAAAATAAATTCAGCGCGCTCGCGCAACTAACAACCAACGGTGAAACCACAAGAGCTTATAGTTTTAACGCACAGAATACCGTTGCTTCTGTTTGAATTTCAAATCGATAGAAAAATGCCTATTTAAAATAGATTAACACATTAATTTTGAGGCTATAAAGAAATTGGTTGCGTTGGAGAGCTACACGAAACGCGAGCTTTTTTTTATAGGCGCAGTATATTTATCTCGTTTTTTGTTTCATATGTGAATGTGGAATAAAAAGGTGAAGAATCTTTGAAATGTGTTGATACATTTAAAATGTTTCTGTTGAAATGGTTTGGTTTATTAGACAACAAGAAATGGAATGTGACCAACTGCAAATGCGACTTGCTTACATGATGTCGAAATCGAAATTCTCAATTAAAATCAACGTAGACTAGAGAGAAAAAAAAATCCATTCTCACTATCGAAGCGGTTAAATGACCATGTGATCTAGGATCTCTTCTGGTTTCAACTTGTTCAAAAATAATTGGATTTCATTTTATTCCGTCTTTATGGTCATTTACACTTTATATCGAGCGAATAAAAAAAAAACCTCTGAACTTTCCACCAAAATGGAACACCAGACACATCGACGCTGCTTCACTGCAATAGCCAGTT